TGTACTGGATATTTTTAAAAAATCTAGAAGAAGAGATTTTAATGTTTTAATCATAAATAAATGAAAATTGTTCGAGGAGACATGTTCATCCTGACATGAATATTACATGTGAGCACTATATCTTTTCATGGGAGGATGTGGGCCTTTTATGACACATATATGTATGTTAGTGTCTCCAACACAAAAAAAGGAATTTTATCATGAAAGAGATACCTGCACTCTCATGTTTATAGCAGTTCAATTCATAATAGCTGACAAAAGGAATCAGCCTAGATGTCTATACACTGATGATAGGATAAAGCAAATGTAGTATATATACACAATGGAATATTAGCCATAAAAAGAATGAAATCCTGGCATTTACAACAAAATGGATGCAACTGGAGATCATTATGCTAGGTGAAACAAGCCAGACCCGAAAAGACAAATATCATTTTTAAAAAAAATTATTTTAGTTAATATCTATAGAGAGAATAAAATATGTGGATGTTATGTCTTTGGTGTAAAGGTATAAAGAGTGCTTCATTGACTTATACCATGTAAATGACAATATACTCTTCAAATGTTAAAAAATGGAGATGAGGTGGTAGTGAAGGCTCCTGGGGTACTAGTAATGCTTTGTTCTTAATTTGGATGTTGGTTATGAGTGTGATCAGATGACAAAAAACATTTACTTGTCATTTTCATGCATTTGTATGTATACTGTATTCCAATAATTTTTTAAAAAATGGCATTAGCTGCGAATGGAATTTGGATGCTTACAGAAATGAAACATATTTTACATAAAAGATTTCCTTGTAGAAGCAGCACCTACAAAGGACTCTAAAAAAATAACTTGTATTTAGAAGAAGGAAACAAAGAGGTTGATCATTCCAGACAAAGCAAGACTTTGAGCCATGTTCAGAAGTGCAAGGAGAAGGACTTTCACTTGAGGAACTGAAAGAATGTTGTGTGGGACCACAGTGAGTGAAAGCTGGAGAATTGGGTAGGTTCTTATGTAGGATTCCTCACCCAAGTGATTGAACATATGGTTGGCAAGAGCTTTCCATTATCGTTTGGACCATCTAGCATGCTGTTTATGCTGAATGTTTTTTTCCTTCTTTCTTGTGACAGATATTAAAATAAAAATATGAGGATAGTTATTAATTTTAAAGTCATACCATGGTCCACTTCATTCAGCAAGGTAATATTCATTTTACTGTGCCAAGGGGAAAATGAATGCTTGAAAATTTCTGTAAAAATCTACATTAAAAAAATTTTGCCAACACTTCATGATGCCACCAAGAACTTAGGGCACCTACCCATTAGCCATACCTCAATAGTGCTAATAGAGTTGTGAGTGAAAATTAGCAAGAAAATAAGTAATTTCTTCCATAAGAGTGAATGAAAGAGGATGCTCTATAGATATCCTCCTTTAAAGACACATAGTTGTCAGTGTCCTTCCCCTCAAAATCTAGAAAGATAAGTTCTGTTCAGAAGCATTAAAAATAATTACACTCACAATGCTAAATGCTGTTAGTGAAAGAGGGGCCGAAAGAGTCAACTTGTTCCCTCAAGATTATTGGTCATGAAGGTCCTTATAAGGAAAGCTGTTTAAAGAGATACTTGAAGACTGAGTTGATCAGAACAGGAAGTGGGTTGGGTTTTCTTTCATTGGGGAAGAATCTATGTAAAAGAGATTGAAAGAACATGGTACATTGAGGATGTGAGGATATTTTGGTACATCTGAGATGCTGTAAAAAGACAGAATGTTAGAGATGGGGATGGGAGAGTTATTGTAAGATGGCTCAGGGACGACTTTATGAACTGGGTTATGGAGTTGGAACTTCAGGCTTTCATTATAAGGGCAGTGGAAAGTTGCTATGAACATATTTGTGTTTGGAAGATCATGCTGGCCACAGTGTAAACAGTGGATTGGTAGGAAAGTTGATCAGTTTATCAGGCTGAGCCAGGGACAAGCTATTCTGATGATTTAGGCAGGGGTTATCTTGGTGCAGGCTGGAGAAAAGGCAAAGGAGATGGAGAAAGATCATCTGATTCATAACATATCTAGCAGATAGCAGACCTGCTGAACAATTAGATATTGTTGGAAGAAGGAGGAGAGAGAGAGAGTAAGCAAAAGGGAGAGGGCAGGGACGATGGCTTCTATGTTTCTGGCTTGGACAACAGAGTCATTTCTATGACAGGGAAGAGAAAATAGACGAAAAACAGGATACAGATTGGGACCAGAGATGATGAGCTACGTGGTTAATGAGATGAAGCAGCTTAGAAATAATGAGTGAGAAGTTGAGTTTGAGGTGCCTGAGTGATGTTTATGTGCAACAGACATGGCCATGTCTGGAGTTCTGGGGATTGGTCTGGCTACTTTAGATTGTGGAAGGTATGGGAGCAAGCAAGATACTTCATAGCTACCAGAAGGAGGGGAAGGCAGAAGTTCTCCGTGGGTTATTGCCTGCATGTCATCTACATCATCAGGTATGTGAGGACTACAGGACAGGGAGCCTTTCTATTAGTCCTATCCTCTATCCTCTTGACATTAACTTGTGTTCAGCCTCCTCCAGCTTCAAAACTCACACTTTAAAAACTATTGAGCTATCAATTCTTCAAGTACTACTCATTTCACTCCTGTTCACATACAAACGTCTTGAAAGAGTTCTTGACATCCACTTTCTCCACTTCTTCCCAACCCACTCATGCCTTATTCTTGCTACATTTAAGATTCCGTCCTCACCACCCTGCCCCATAGGTCTCAGGTTGCCAGCAGCGTTTTATCTTTGGTCGTTTCACAGCTTGATCTCTCAGCGACCTTCGGAGCTGCCGTCCAGTAGTTCTGCTCAAAGCATTTTCTTCCTCTGGCTGTGGTAGCACTGTCTCAACTGGGTTTCCTCCTACTTTATTGACTCTTTCAGTTGTTTTGACTAATAATAAACACCAACATTCACGGGAGAGGTGCCAGTACTTTATTTTCCACAGCTCGCTGAGGCTTAGGGTGGTCATACCATTAGTAATGGTTGGAATCCAGCTTGTTTGCTGCCAGACGCCCACATTTAATCAACTACACTACGCTGTCTGTTTTGCAGGAACAGAAGAGTATGACAGGTCGTTGATCCTTGAGGCTTCATCCTCAGAATCACCGCCCCTATACGACCACAAGGTGGCAGCATCAAGAGGCTAGGAGACAAGTCCTGACGCTGCTCTAGGTCCCGTTAGAACGTGCGTTCCCAGCACAGGCACTGTATCTCTGCCTGCGTGCTTCCCAGGGTGCGCCCCGTTCCCCTAACTCCTCTTTGTCTTCCCAGTCATTTCTCTTCTCTCGCCCCCCCCCCCGCCTTGACACCCCCCCCCCCAGTCCTCTCAGCAGGCGTCAGAAAAATAGTCCCTGAGCTCAGCCCCTTTGGGTAGGAGTCAGGACTCAGCCTTCCTAGGGAGCCTGGGCGGAGCCTGCATCCCAAGTCTCTGTTTCCTCCTCATATCCCCTGATCCCTTGGGACTTCCAGAGAAGGTATATATGGGCAGTGGCCTTCCGCAGAGGCACTACTGGTGAAGGCTGCGCCATGCTGTCTCCCAGGGAGGGAGGCCTAGGAGGTTTGTCCAGGCTCTGAGAACTTTTTAAAAGAGAGGCGCACTGCTGCGTAAGAAGCCTGGAATTTGCTCAGACAGCCTGGTCGCTTGGAGGGATCTGCCAGCTGGCACCTGCCCCAGATTGCAATAGCCTGGATCCCAGACTTTATTCAGTGATCTACTCAAAGAGAAACTTCTGCAAACCTCTGTGAGGCCCATTCCAAGCTTTGCCTATCCCGGGTGCCAGGGCAGAACCCAGTTCCAGCCCCGTTAGTCATGGGGGATTAATTTACCCAGGGGAAGCGTGTGTGTGTGTGTGTGTGTGTGTGTGTGTAATTCAGTTGGAGTCACACTGTGCAGCCCCTAGTGTGAAGACTGTGGACTCTGGGAGGTGGGTATCACTTGTACCTCGCTCAGCAGGAGACTGCAGGTCTAGTTGTGCTGTTGGATGGTGGTGGTGTGGAAGGATGGTTGGGAAAGATTGGGTTTGGAGGCAGACAGAACATTTCAGATGGAGCATTATTTTTCATAATCAGGAATGGGTAAGTGGATTATACAGTGAGGCTGGGAGGGAAGCAGGGTGTGTCAGATAGTGAAAAGGCCCTGATAGATTGATTGCAAAAACAAAATCAACAATGAGGGGTAAAAGAACAGAGAAATCAAGCTAGAGCCCCCTGCCCTAACCTGGATGACTTGGCTGCATGCCAGGCGATACTGTTCACTGAGATCGGAACAGAGTGGAGGCTCAAGCTTGGAAGTGGCCCTATTCCGGGCAGGATGAATGTGAGGTCTGCAGGTTATTCGGGGAGATACATAAAGGAGGCAGAAGGCTCTGTGCCCGGATTTCAGGACAGAGGTTTGGAACAGAGTGGTCTGTGCACTGAAAGAAGTTAAGCCTGGGGTGGTTGTGATCCCCAGGAACAGTAGATGGAGGGTGTGCACGCACTGAATGGTAACAGCAGAAGCGCTGGCTCATTTTCATCCAATGTCTTGGCTGCATCTGGTTTCCATGATGCACCCACGGCGAGCGCAGTCTGGGACAGACTCTCACGTGGGCCTTGAGGAATCCTGAAGGCACATGCTGTTCTCTTCTTTGTTGGGGCTAGAAATGACAGTTCCTCTTCACCCCTCCCTTCCCACTCTTGAGAACACTGGAATGACTTTCCCTGTTTTCTCTGATTTAAAATGAAATCATCTAGGCTAGGGGAAAGGGATTTACTGTTTTTAGAATTGATTTCTGGGCACTTTTCCTAGAAATTTTGATTCACTGGGCCTAGGCAGAACCTGGGGGAGAGGATGGCATTTTCAGCTTCTCCACATGATTCCACCAAGGAAGGCTGAGAAATGCTACACAGACTCACACACAAACCTCTCTTGAAATCCTCTCCCACACTGAGCCGCTGCTTCCCACCTTAAGTCAGCTTATAGTGGGTCTTTAAGACAACTGTGGAATGAATCTCTCAACTCTGGATTTATGTCCACCCTAACCCCAATAATCTGGGGTCAGTGTGGATGGCCATGCAAGCATTCCACTCTGTTGGAGAGTGGCCAGGAGAAGTGTCCTTGTCAGCAATGGCAGCTCTGAAAACGAGGGACTCTTACATGTTTTATGTGTGAACATTGACACACTGAGATGAGTAAGATACTAGTAGAATCCGCTGCATGGTTCTGGGGCCTTGGAAGACTAGGGCAACATTCATGGTGTTCATGGAGGTGGATGTGAAAAGAATGAGTGGATTTGAAGAGAATGAGAGCAGAGAGAGGCTGAGGTTCAGAATTATTAGAAGGACTAAATCCTTGTATTTGTTACAGTCACTCTTCCAATGCCTCTTTCTTATATCTTTCCTCTGAGCCATGACTGAATGATTTTTTTTCTTTTTCCTTTCCTAGGCACTGAATTTGGGATGCAGAAGCCCCAGCTCTTGGTCCCTGTTGTGGCTACTCCAAATGGAACTCTGGTCCACCCAACATACTTCTTGCTGGTGGGTATCCCTGGTCTGGGGCCTGGCATACACTTCTGGCTGGCTTTTCCACTGTGTTTTATGTATGCTGTGGCCACCTTGGGCAATCTGGCCATTGTCCTCATTATTCGCATGGAGAGGTGTTTGCATGAGCCCATGTATCTTTTCCTGGCCATGCTCTCCACCATTGACCTAGTTCTCTCCTCCATCACCATGCCTAAGATGGCCAGCCTTTTTCTGACAGGCATCCAGGAGATTGAGTTCAATGTTTGCCTGGCACAGATGTTCCTTATCCATGCTTTGTCAGCCATGGAGTCGGCGGTTTTGCTGGCCATGGCTTTTGACCGCTTTGTGGCCATCTGCCACCCACTACGCCATGCTTCTGTGCTTACAGGGCCTACTGTGGCCAAGATTGGACTAGCTGCCCTGACCAGGGGATTTGTTTTCTTTTTCCCTCTGCCCTTCATCCTGAAGCGGTTGTCCTATTGTAAGACACATACTGTCACACATTCCTTCTGTCTGCATCAAGATATCATGAAGTTGTCTTGTACCGATACCACAGTCAATGTGATCTATGGACTCTTCATCATTCTTTCAGTCATGGGTGTGGACTCCCTTTTTATTGGATTCTCCTACATCCTTATCCTGCGAGCTGTGTTGGAGCTGTCCTCCAGGGGAGCTGCACTCAAAGCTTTTAACACCTGCATCTCACATCTCTGTGCTGTGCTGGTCTTCTATGTGCCTCTCATTGGGCTCTCAGTGGTGCACAGGCTGGGTGGGCATACCTCCCTGCTCCATGTGGTTATGGCTAACATCTATCTATTGCTGCCACCTGTGGTCAACCCCATTGTCTATGGGGCCAAGACCAAGGAGATTCGTTCAAGGGTCCTCCATATATTCTCACAGGATAGCAGGTGAGAAGAGTCCCTACCACAGTGTCCTCAGTAATGCCAAAGATGGGAGGATTAGATTATGTTGAATGTCTTGTTTGAGGAGACAACACTCTTTTCTACTTCTGTTTATCTAAATAGATTTGTATTTCTCTCTCCAGGAATGTGCCATTATGCAAGGGCAGACCATCCTGGAGAAGGATTTACCTAGTCTCTGTGCTATAATGGCCTTACATGGTCCCTCTCTCTCAAGTAAATATACACATGATTTTGACATGGGAAGGCTATAATATCACACCTCATGGTTTATTTCAGTCTTCATGTATGATTTAAATTATGATTTCCCTCATGCATTTAGGTCAGTAAATCTGTGTTGATTATGAAACTTACTACTCATACCCCAAAGTGGTTACACAGTCATAATTATGGGTTACTGAAGGTATTTGGAGGATAGTGGTGGAAAGGAAATGGAGACAGGAGAGGGGGTAGTTCACATGAAGTACTCAAGTTTCTGTATGTATCTGGGTGTATTTATCTGCCAATGTGTATCTGTGTGTGCTGTGTGAAAGCAAGTGTGCTCATATGCAAGAGAGAAAATGTGCCTATTGTGTTTGGTGAGTGTAGTAGTGGTGTTCTGACATATTCCAGTATATGTTTCATGGGTGATATCTTTGTACATTTTTCTATGTCTGCATATATATGGTGAGAATTATCTTTATGTGTGTCTGGTAAGAACATTGCTTCTGCCTCTATCTTTCCTTCACCTTGACCACAAGGATTTCAGGTGCCTCTGCCTGTCTTCCCTGTCTGCTTTATCTGAGGCACTAGCTTTATTCTCAATACCAGGTTACATTATCTTCTTTTCTCCCTTCTCTTTCCTGCTGCTCTGCCAAGCATGTTTTCAAGTCCTTGACTGTGAGGATGAGTAGGTGGTACTTGTAAAGCTGCCAGCATCTGCTAGGGTTCATCTCACTATAAGTGACTCACTTGACCCTCAGCTCTTGGAATCTGCTAGGTCAAAAACATTCACCCTGTAGAACTGTAGGTGTGGAACAGTATAGATTAATTTGAGCAGAGGAAAGAACACTGAAATAGGACTTTTAAGGAAAGGTACAGCAACATACCTCATAATATCTCTAGAAATAATTCCCTCTTTTGTATAATGAGAAACTCAACAGCAGTGATGCTGTGAAGCTCAAATGCTGTGAACATCCTTTGTAAACATGTTTGGAATGGTTATTTTCATATGGTTGCTTTGTTGTACAAGATTAAGAAATATTATTCACATCATGGCCTATATGAATGGTGCTCATTGTTACTAATTAATCAAGACAACTCTTTATCTCCCAATAAATTGTTTTCACAAAGCTTCAGAGAAGTTGAAATTCATTCTCCTTGTACTGGGCTGTGAATTGAAAATGAAATCCAGACCTTGTCAAGAGGTTCCTTTAGATGTGGTCTACATCTGCATCAGGAAAAAACACACTGTGGTGCGGGGATCACTAGCTCTTTTAGGGGCCAGTTGCTTAATCTACTAACCTTAGTAATTTTGGAAGGTATGAACAATGTAAAATAGGAGTGGATTATAGAACCTCTGCTATGGGTGTGGGGACTAATTAGATAGGATAATAGATGTGAATGCACATGGAAAATACAATTATTGATAAAAGTTGATGAAAATAATTTTAAGTAATAAATCTGCTGAAATAAGACATGTTTATTCTACCTTAGGGGATAGTATTCAAAGTACAGCAGCCTTCACCTTTCATGAACAACTTCTGTGCCAAGGCCAGAAGGCATTCCCTCGTCCATACTGAAAGGTCATTGTCTTTAGACTAACTGGTGTCTTCCTTCTCAGAAGATCTTGGGCCATCTCTGAATTCCCTAGGAACTGTTTATTGGATGATGGGTGACTCCTACAATGATTGTTGCAATGCTGGAAAACTTGGCTGACTGCCAGACCAGAGTAGTGGCTTTCTCTAGGCTCCCACAGTCTCTGCACTTCTATCATAAAACAGAAGCCTCTGTAATCCAACTGGATGTTTAGTCCTCTGTTTGGAGTTAAATGATTGTATGATAACTGTTGTCCTGTATCCTGGAACCCAGTTACCTATATGACAGTTTTCTGTCTTCCTTTAGGATAGGGAGCAGGTCTTACTATGTGCGTGTTTTCTGAGCCTGGCATATGCGGTGCTCAGTGGCTGTTAGGCTGAGTCTGCTTAGAGTGGGGGAGAGGCAGAAAGAGTTCTGGTTCATTTTAAATAAACAAATTCACTCTTGTTCCACCATCTATCCCATCTCCTGTTCTTTTTTTGCTATTGATTATATATTATGAGGTTCACAAAAGTACTTTCCCCAGCTATTAATGATCAATTTTGATAAAAAAAATTAGATCTCAGATAATATTTTCACTACCAATTTACAGATAAAGAAACCTATGCTCGAAGAAGTTCAGTGACAGCTGACACTAGGATAATGTCACTTCTAGAAATTTCTTTCCCAAGATCAGACACTTAAGTCTCAGATTTAAGATTCTGATAAAAAGTAGTCAGAGTTATGAAAAACTTCTAATAGTCTTTCTACTCAAAATCATACTTTAGTTGTGTGCTGCATGTCAGCATTCACTCTTACCATGCTTGGCCTACAAGAGTGTTATTGAGCCTTCAGTACATTGATTTTATCATGGTAATTAGACAGTTTGAAGGATACAGCTTCCCACTGCCATCTTAATTTTTTATAGAAAACTTTATTTAATAAATATAAATTTTGAAAGTACAACTTTTGGATTATAGCAGTTCTTCCTCCCATAACCACCCTCCTACCCACAAACCATCCCATCTCCTACTCCCTCTCCCATCCCATTCTTCATTAAGATTCATTTTAATTATCTTTATATACAGAAGATCATTTTAATTATCTTTATATACAGAAGATCAACTCCATACTAAGTAAAGATTTCAACAGTTTGTACCCACACAGAAACACAAAGTACAAAGTACTGTTTGAAGATGAGTTTTTACTGTTAATTCTCATAGTACAACACATTAAGGACAGAGATCCTACATGGGGAGTAAGTGCACATTGACTCCCATTGTTGATTTAACAATTGGCACTCTTATTTATGACATCAGCAATCACCCGAGGCTCTTGTCATGAGCTGCCAAGGCTATGGAAGCCTCTTGAGTTCACAAACTCTGACAAGGCCATAATCATAATCAAAGTGGTTCTCTCCTCCCTTCAGAGAAAGATACCTCCTTCTTTGATAGCCTCTTCTTTCTACTGAGATATCACTCACAGAGATCTTTCATTTAGGTTATTTTTTCGCCACAGTGTCTTGGCTTACCATGCCAGAGATACTCTCATGGGCTTTTTAGCCATATCCAAATGAGTTAAGGGCTGATTCTGAGCCCAGAGTGCTGTTTAAGGCATTTGTCATTCTATGAGTCTGCCCCACAGCCATCTTCTTATGCTAGGTAATTCTTCAGGTAATGTCTACAAATTCTCTGTTGCCAACATTAGTGGAAAAGGAGGTCCATCCTCATTCCCTATGGCCTTCCACTTGACCCATCTCAGCTTAGAGGATGGCGCACTCAGTCTAGGAAAAGCATCACTGACAAGTGTCAGAGACCCAAGCAGAGAGCCCCGTTCCTCCCCTGTGGCTCCTGTAGAGGCTCAGGGTTATCATTGTTGTCACAGCACATCTATGAACTTTGAATGAGTGAGATGATCTGATGATGGGCTGATAACCATGTCTTAACCAGTGGCTTCTGGGTGTTGGAGGGCTCACTGGGTGCTTCTTTGATGCCGCAGGGCACCTCCCATTGTTTCACAAGTAAGCGCTGTCCCCCCAGGCTCTCTACTGCTTCTGAAAACTACTTTTGGGACATGAAATATAAATAGGGGCCTGGGCTCCAGCACAGCTGAGAGTGATTACCTAAAAGCTGCCTTCCTGACAGGCTAGCATCTGTGTGGGTTCCGATCTTCCAAGCAATCGACAAGACGGAATTAATGGAATTAAATATACAAGAGTTTTTTTTTTAAATATATTTTCTCTTGGAAAAGGCTTATGGCATATAACTGGAAGAAGGAATAGAAATAGATTGGTAAATCCTTCAGATTATGGTACAAGCTGACACATGTCAAAGGAGAAAGGAAAAATTGGGTGGAAAGAGTCAGACCCAGACCGCAGTATGATTCTGAGAAAGTTTCAGCCAGGCTGAATGATAGTCCCCAAGCAAAGGCTGCTCACTGGAACAGTCCCAGGTTGGCAGAAATGGGTCAGCACGAAGTCATTTCCTGGGAGCAGCTTGGAGGAAGTGTGGCTCCCAGGCTAACTGGTGATAACCAAAAAAGGAGCAATTGGGGTCTCAGTCGGTTGTGCTCCCAGACAACAGACTGCTATGACAATTATACTTTCATGGCTGTCATGGCATCTGCACCTGAGTGTTTTCATTCAGGTAAAACCTGTAATATGAGGACGGGGTATTTCATGCCTCCAGCTCTGGAGGATATTTAATTTTATTTAAATTTTAATAGCTTACTAATGTATAATTAATATACAACAAATTGTACACATTAAAAATGTACCATAGAAGTTCTGACAGAGGTGCATACCCACAAATCTGTCACCAAAATCAGGCAATCAACATATCTATCACCCCCAAAAGTTTCCTTGTGTGCCTTTGAGATTCCTGATTCCCATGTCTGCTCATCACCCTCCAGTCCAGTACACAAGTAACCACTGGACTGCTTTGCTGCTCTATGTTTAGTATGAATTTCTTAGAATTATTCAGTAGGAACTAATTTTGGGTCTGGTTTCTTTTATTCAGCACAATTGCTCTGAAACGCATCTGTGTGTATAAGGAGCTCAGCCCTTTTATTGCTGAGCAACATTCCATTGTGTGATTATGTCATAATTTGTTCAGCCTTTGCCTTCTTGGGGAACATTTAGGAAGTTTCCAGGGTTGAGTAATACAAATTAAGTTGATGTGAACATTTGTGTACTGGTCTTTTTATGGACATATATTTTTATTTATTTATTTTTTCGAGTAAACACCTGGGAGCAGAATGGCTGTAGTATTATAGTTTGTATTTAATTTTTTAACAGACTGTTTTCCAACATGCTTGTCTCATTTTATACTCCCAGCATTATATGAGACTTACAATTCATCAACATTCTTACCAATGTTTGAATGGTTTAGACATCTTTTATTTTTTGGTATTTTAGCAGGGGTGAAGTGGCATGCTATTGTGGTTTTAATTCGTAATTCTCTAAGGAATAGTGATACTGGACATCTTTTTTTTTTTTTTTTTTTGACAGGCAGAGTGGACAGTGAGAGAGAGAGACAGAGAGAAAGGTCTTCCTTTTGCTGTTGGTTCACCCTTCAATGGCCGCTGCGGCCTGCGTGCTGTGGCCGGCACACCGCGCTGATCCGAAGGCAGGAGCCAGGTACTTCTCCTGGTCTCCCATGGGGTGCAGGGCCCAAGGACTTGGGCCATCCTCCACTGCACTCCGTGGCCACAGCAGAGAGCTGGCCTGGAAGAGGGGCAACCGGGACAGAATCCGGCGCCCCGACCGGGACTAGAACCCGGTGTGCCGGCGCCGCTAGGCGGAGGATTAGCCTAGTGAGCCGCGGCGCCAGCCAATACTGGACATCTTTTCATGTGCTGTTAGCTGTATGTAACTCTTTCATTTTTGTTTTGTTTTGCATAGAGTTTGGATTTAATAAAAACTTGCTTATTTATTGGAGAGACAGAGAGAAAAAGACAATTAGACAGACAGACAGACACATAAATAGATAAACAGAGTGTTCTCGCACACTGATTCACTCCAGCAAATGCCTACAATGGCCAGAACTGGGCCAGGCCAAAGTTGAGAGCTAGAATCTCAAACGGTCTCCCACTTAGGTGTCATTAACCTAATCACCTTTGCTATCACTTCTGCCTCCCAAGGTCCATATTAACAAGAAGCCAGAATTGGGAGCCAAAGCCAGGAATAGAATCCAAATACTCCAGTGTGGGATGTGGGCACCTGAAACAGCATCTTAATTGCAAGGATAGGCATATTTAAAATATATTTTTACGTACAAGTATTTTGTCAGTTGTACACTTTACATTCCTTTCTCCCTCTATCTGTGAGTTATCTTTTACTTTAAAAAAGAATTTTGAGGCCGGTGCCACCACTCACTAGGCTAATCCGGCGCCAGCACCCCGGGTTCTAGTCCCGGTTGCTCCTCTTCCAGTCTAGCTCTCTGCTGTGGCCCAGGAAAGCAGTGGAGGATGGCCCAAGTGCTTGGGCCCTGCACCTGCATGGGAGACCAGGAGGAAGCACCTGGCTCCTGGCCTCGGATCAGCGCGGTGCACTGGCCACAACGAGCCGGCCTCAGCGGCCATTGGAGGGTGAACCAACAGCAAAAGGAAGACCTTTCTCTCTGTCTCTCTCTTTCTCTCACTGTCCACTCTGCTGTCAAAAAATAATAAAAAAATGTTTTATATTCTGATGACAACATAAATAGTATGGCATAATTAAATTTATAATTGTCTATTGCTAAAATAGAAAACTGTAATTGATTTCTCTATGTTGCCCTTGAACCTTAAGCCTTGCTAAACTCATTTATAATTTATAGAAGTTTTATTATGTTTTCCATAAGATTGTCTATATACATGGTCATGTTGTCTATGAAAAAAGACAGTTGGAGACAGGTCTTCCACCTGCTGGTTCACTTTCCAAATGCCTGCAACATCCAGGACTGGACCAGGATGAAGCAAGGAACACAGAACCCAATTCATGTCTCCCATGTGGGTAGCAGGGACCCGGGTACTTGAGCCGTCATCTGTTGCATTTCCAAAAAGTGCATGAATAATAAGCTGGATTGGAAGTGAAGTAACTGAGACTCAAACTAGGCATTCTTGTATGGGATGTGGACACCCCGATTGATATTTTAACCTGTATGTTAACTCCACACCATTCTGTTTATCCCTGGAGTTGTTCAACTTTATTACAACACATCTTGCTTTAATTTTTATGATTGTAGTGTTTGGAATTCATTAATTTTGTATGTGGGTTTAAAAATTTACATCAAATTTGTGAATTTCTGGCTATTATTTTTTGCCTTCCTCCCTTTGGGACTCCATATTTATATCTGTTTGAAGTTGCCACACTATTAATGAATGCTGTGTTCAGTTTCAAAATAGTCTTTTTAAAAATCACTGTTTAATTTCAGATAATTTTTTAAAGCTTTTTAAAAATTTATTTGAAAGAGTTACACAGAGAGAGAAGGAGAGGCAGAGAGAGAGAGGTCTTCCACCCGCTGGTTCACTCTCCAATTGGCCGCAATGGCTGGAACTGCACTGATTTGAAACCAGGAGCCAGGAGCTTCTTTTGAGTCTCCCACATGGGTAGGGGGTCCAAGTAATTGGGCCATCTTCTACTGCTTTCCCAGGCCATAGCAGAGAGCTGGATCAGAATTGGAGCAGCCGGGACTCGAACTGGAGCCCATATGGGATGCCAGCACTACAGGTGGCAGTCTTACCCTCTATTTCACAGTGCCAGCCACACAAATAATTTCTAATGCTATGTTTTCAAATTTACTAATATTTTCTTCTGCAGTATCTAACCTGTCCTTAATCTCATCCAGTGAGTTGTACATCTGACACATTATAATTTTTTTTTCTCTAGAAGTTTGGGGTTAAAAATGCCTTTCATGGCTCTTCCCAAATTTTTGAACCCATTTAATACAGTATTATAATAATAATTTTAACATCTGTGTCCTCTGTTTTTTTTTTTAAATCTGAATCAATTCTTGATCAACTTTTGATTTGTTTTCCTTGTTTCTTTGCATGCCTGGCAATTTGATTACCTGTCAGACACTGTAAATATTACTTTGGTAAGATTTTTATGTCCTTATAGATATTCTTGCACTTTGTTCAAAAAGACAGGTAAGCCACTTGGAAATAATTTGATCATTTTAGGGCTTGTTTTTAAGATTTTTTAGGTGAACTTGCCCACTACTGAGGCAATGGCAGTATAATTATCAAAACATTGAAATCAACATTAGTACAATAGCTCAGTGTTGCATGGTGACGTTTGGGTTAGGTACAAGCCATATATACAGTAAGGTTAAAATGAAGTTGAAAAATTCCTATCACTTAGCGAAGTTATAGCACACGAAATTGCTCACACGTTCGTACTGATGCTGTTATAATTAGGCCTGCGACTTCTCCAGTCACATAAAGTATCACACAAACAGTTTCATCCAGTGCATAATACTTGAAATACTTGATAATGATAGCAAATGACCATGCTCCCCATTTCTGTATTTACTATACTAAACATTTTAGCTTTATTTTAGAATGTACCCCTTCTCTTTATAAAAAAAAGTTTACTGTAAAATAAAGTTGCCTGTGTGTTATGATGGACATGCATGTCTTGGATGTCTTTTTTCTTGTGCTTAGTTTAATTTCATGTTTGGTTCATCATGACCCCAGAACAATAGGTCACACACACACGCATCACATGGCCTAGGTGTATACTAGGCTGTACGCCTAGGTTTCTGGAAGTACACTCTGTGATGTTCGTATAATGAGGTACTCACCTAACTGCTCATTTCTTTTTTTTTTTTTAACACGATTTTATTTATTTATTTGAGAGGTAGAGTTACAGATATAGAGAGAGAAGAGACAGAGAGAAAGTTCTTCCATCTGCTGGTTCACTCCCCAAAATGCTGCAACAGCCAGAGCTGGGCCCATCTGAAGCCAGGAGCCAGGAGCTTCTTCCAGGTCTCCCACATAGGTGCAGGGGCCCAAGCACTTGGGCCATCTTCCACAGCTCTCCCAGGCCACAGCAGAGAGCTGGATCAGAAGTGGAGCAGCTGGGACATGAATTGGTTCCCATATGGGATGCCCAGCACCCCAGGCAGAGGCTTAGCCTACTACCCACTAACTGATCATTTCTCAGAACATATCAAAGTGACACAGGGCTGTGTAAGCTAAACTATAGATGTTATTTGAATACCATCTTTTTTTTCTCATATGTTTTACATCCCAGCATCTAAAACGGGATCTCACGGTGGATTCAGTTTTCATGTCTCCTTCATCTCCCATCCATGACAGCTCCTCAGGAGTCCCTTAACTTTCACTGCCTTGACATTTGGATTGAATATTTTTCAGGTTGGGGTGTAGTCCATGGATTCCTCATGATTTTTTTATGATGAGTACATTCAAAATCTTCCCTTTTATTTTGAGATATAATAAAGCAATATTATTAATTATATTCACCCTGATATTCACTCTAAATGAATTTAAGGCATATATCTGTGAAATTGATCAATTAAAAACTGAGAAACCAAACCAGAATCATGTTGTTTTATTTATACACATAGTTTAAACTTATATCAAAATGTAAGGTACTTAGTTTCACATTCAAATTATCCTCTAATTCTCTAAAATGTTCTCACACTATTTTTTCCCTTAAGAGAGAAACCAGATGGCATTGGTCTTACATGGCTGCTGTTGGAGACTGGGGAGGGTTAAGCAATCACATTGCTCCCTCAGCCAGAAGTTCAGTAACCTAAGGCTGAGAGTGGAAGGCAGAGACACTGTCCCTAGGGACCCTTGTTATGAGTTAACCAGACACAGACGCCAGAGCCTGGGAGAAAAAGAAGGTATAGCTCTAGGACTTTGGGGAAGAGAGGATGTTCCCATTAGGTTCCAGGCTCAATAAGAACCTAAGCAGCATCCACCAAGAAGGCAGGGGAGAAAGAAAGCACCAGGAACCAGGATGGAGACTGGCTAACATTTAACTCTTGAGTTTCCCTGCCAATTGACTTTGCCTTTCCTCTGACTCAGTACAACCAGCCTATAAATAAATGTGGAAAGAGGCCTTCACAAAGACTATAGCCACACACAGGTTTACTAAGCCTTTTCTTACAGCATCTTCACGCTGGGAGCTGGCAAAGGTATCCCAGCTGGCACAGGATCATTTTGGGGAGGACTCTTGAGACCTGCTCTTCCCAGTCTCTGCTTTCCCCATAGGCCCAGGCACATGCTCCTGGGACACGTGAAACCAAAGCCGCAGTTAGCTGGTGAGGGGTTGCTGCTGATGGACCCTCTGGACAGCACCCTGTCTCCCCTGCAGGGAGGAGCAGAAGGAGGGAGGAGGTAAGAAAGAGAATAAATAACCCTGACGGGGGAGGTCCAAAGCAGGAGGCGGAGACAGGGAGGGCTGTGTTTCAGTGCTGCCTGCCAGACCTCTAAGGGAAGAGTGCTGGGGAAAAGGGGCACACGTTTGTTGCTTCAGCTCCAGTGAGGTGAGTGTAAATTGCAGGTACATCTGGGTGTGTGAGTTTCTTGTAGCTATAGATCTTCTACTGGACCTGCTGAGTGAATTAGTAGTCAGTCTGGAAAGAATCAGAAGTGCAAGGCTGGGGCTGGAGGATGTGGAGGAAGAATCAGACTCAAAGGGTAGGCAGCCTTAACAATTACTGTTTGTGCAAAGAAGGGATATATGTTGGTTTTAGCTGATGCCAAAGGATACTTTGCAAGCAGTTTTTCAGTGGCCAGTTTCCTGATGTGCCCATCTAGAGGTTTCTGGGGCTGACATCAAAGAATATGAATGGGGACAGAGAACAGACTGGGTTGGGGTTAAACAAGAGTTAAAGTGAGGTTGAGTTGAGATTCAGTGTGTAGCAGGGGTGAGGGCCCAGCTTAATAGTGTGATTGAAGCTCAGCCTGAGATCAGGGATCAGGCTACAGTTAGGGCAGAGGTGGAGGCTGTGGGTGGGTTGGGGCTTACTGTGTAAGTGTATTAGGAGTCAAGCTGTGGATGAGCTTAGGACCTAGCAATCTTCTTGGGGTTCCAGTCCTGGCTCAATCTGTGCTTGGGATCAGAGTTCAGCCTTCAGTTCATTTCAAAAGCAGATTATTATCAATACTGCAACTTGCATTCTGTCTTGTCCTCTCTACCCCTAGTGATGTTAAATTTATTTGCAGCTTTCCAAATAAGCCTTGCTCGTATTCTCTCTTAGTCTTTGCATTTGCCAACGTGCATTGAAAACAAATAAGATTAAATCTATTGCTTAAATTCCCCCAAATCATTCAGAATTAGAGCAAAGTTCCTTGCTGTGTCCTGCAACCCACCTTCACATGTTCTCTTCCTGGTCCTCCTCTGATTTCACTTTCTAAAACTCTCCTGTGCTCTTGGCTTTCTGGCCCACTTATCTTTCTGTCTGTTCCATGAACCTCTAAACTTCTTGTCTTAAGAACTTTTTCTTAAGGTGGCGTTTTACACAGCAGTTAAGAGGCTGCTTGGGATGCCCATATCCTGTATCAGAGTGCAAGCTTTGAGTCCCTACTTGTTTCCAATCCAGGTTCCTGCTAATGTGCATGCTGGGAGACAGCAGGTATTGGTTCAAGAACTTGGATCCCTACCACCCACATGGGAGGTCTGGATGGATTTCCAGTCTCCTGGCTTTGAGTTGGCCCAGTTACAGTTGTTGAGTGTTGAGGGTATTTGGTGAGTGAAATGATGATGGAAGATCTCTCTCTCTTTCTCTCTCTCTCTCTCTCCCTTTCTTTTCTTTCTTTCTTTCTTTCTTTCTTTCTTTCTTTCTTTCTTTCTTTCTTTCTTTCTTTCTTTCTTTCTTTCTTTTTTTGACAGGCAGAGTGGACAGTGAGAGAGAGACAGAGAAAAAGGTCTTCCTTTGCCGTTGGTTCACCCTCCAATGGCTGCCGCAGCCGGTGCGCTGTGGCCGGCTCACTGCGCTGATCCGAAGGCAGGAGCCAGGTGCTTCTCCTGGTCTCCCATGGGGTGCAGGGCCCAAGCACTTGGGCCATCCTCCACTGCACTCCCGGGCCACAGCAGAGAGCTGGCCTGGAAGAGGGGCAACCGGGACAGAATCCAGCGCCCTGACTGGGACTAGAACTCGGTGTGCCGGCACCGCTAGGCGGAGGATTAGCCTGTTGAGCCGCGGCACCGGCCTCTTTCTCCCTTTCAAATAAAGAATAAATAAACTCTGAAACATACATTTTTCTTTTGTCATTGCCCATGCCTGGAATTCTCTTTCCTCAGACGTTAGAATGCTGGCTGTTTCTCATCATGCAGTTCTCAGCTCTCATGTCACCTCTTCAGACATTCTCTGAACCTGATTTTGAATATCGGAGCTCTGCTCCCCTCCTTCTCTATCCCATCACTCTATCCTGTGTTTAGTTTGCTTTTCTGAACTTTTCTTAACCACTTCTTTGTTCACTTTCTGTCATTGTCCTCCTAGTACTTGAGCTCCAGCAGAGCACTGACCTTGTCTCTTTTATTACTTTTTGATATCCAGTTTTGACCCTTGATTCATTTTCATTAACTGAACTCTGCTGTCCCATGTCCCCTTAACTGCCTGATTTATTGCAGCTGGTGATGCAAGTCATAGCTCAGATGTCACTTCCTCAAGGAAGCCCTCTGAACCTAAACAGCTTGGTGAGCCAGTGTTACGTTTGCTTCCCGTGCCCTTGTGGTTCCCTTTGTCTTAGCACTTGTCACAGTATGCTGTTATGGTTGCATCTTTGCCACAATTTCTGTCCAACTTGGGTGGCTAGAACTGTGCCTTGTTTTACTCTGTCTTTCAGTGTCCCCATTGGTTTGCATGGGGTATGGCACACAATGGTTAATCATTCAGTAACTGTTGAAAAATGAATCCACTGATTAATGTCCTGCATTAGGTGTCCAACTTTCCTCACATTTACTTGCGTGAGTATGCCAGCCAGAATTGCTGTGAAGTGACTATAACTAGGTCAAACTTTTCTGGTCTCTAGGACACCTAACAGACCCAACCTGGGAAGTGGAGGAGTGGGGACTTGAACTTTAGGAGTCCTGTCTGGGGGTGATTTTAAAGTACCAGGTTGACTTGAGTAGGGTGGGGTTGGTGTCTTCTTATTCCACTTGTTGGAATTATAAATGGAACTCTCATCTTTCTCTTCTCATACTAGCTTTCTAAAAAGAGTGTGCAGTTCCCTATAAAAGTTCCTCTGCTTTGTCAAATCCGAGCAAGGTACGGGAGACAGCAGATGTAGAAATTTGGGTAGAAGTGATTCTGGGGCTACTACCCTTATGGGGTGTTAGGAAAAGGGCTCACTTTCCAAGAATTGAGTGATGGGTTCCTACAGTCCTTGCCAGACACACCATGTCCCTTGACATCTGCTTTTCCTCTCTGGGCCTGGAGGTAGGAGCTAGAGGCTCCCGAGTACATCTGTGCTTCCCTTCAAGGACATTGTTTTGAAAATAATCCTGTAGAATCTTGCACTAGCATCCCCCACTCCACTGCTCTTGGAGTGGAGCATTTTATGCATTTGCTCAGATGACAACAAATATCATGACTCTCCTCTTTCATTCCATCTTGTTTCCCTCCTACACTGAACTTAAGTGGGCAGAGCCAGTCACATGTCCTGAGTCCTAGAGAGGCGCTGGATCCACAAGTCCTCAATTTTGGATTCCTTGGAGAATAGTCTTTGCAAAGCACCAGTCGTTTCTTAAGGATCCTGGGAGAAGGGCAGAGAAGTAGCTGGCATTTGGAAAGCACATGGATTTGGCATTAAGGCTTTAACTCTTTATTTGTCAAATGGGATAAATAAGGCCCATATGAAAAGTTGATGAGAGGTTCTCATTAAATAAAAAGGAAGAGATAAAGCTTTCTAATCTCCACTGTGAAGTCTGCCCATGTAATAGACAGGAGAGTTGGGGCTGGAAGGAAAGGAATGTGTCCTAAGATCCATCCATGAGGGTTATCTTTATTGCTGGATTGATTTCCCTTCTACGAGTATTCCCAGGCCAAGTGTCAACTTGTCACACCCCTTTTTAACCTTGCCTCTTGGTCATATTTTATGAGCTTTCAGAAGTTGCAGCATGATTATAGACAGCCCAATATAGGAGCAAGTATATAAGACTTAGTGTTACACAAGATCAGTTAAATTTCTGCTTTACCAGTCAACTGATAAATCCTGGAAATGTTATTTAACTTCTCAGAGCCTTGGTTTTCTTATCCCAACCATAGAAAGGATGCATAGAACTCCTGTCCTTACGGGCTTTTGTCAGTTTTGAGATAATACTTATCATATTTACATAGTATCTGGCATTTTGTAGCATAGAATAATCTCTGTTAGTATAACAAAAACAACAAAATCAGGGGTGAAGGTGACCTCAGTGTTCTCTTGGGTCATAAGAGTTAGGGTTCATGGCTCCCAGTCTTCCTACCCAGTGGATTTCTGTGGGCCTGTGAGAAGGAGTGAATTTAGAGTTCTGGGGAAGAGTGTGAGTTTGGGGTAATGATGGGAGCTGAACTGACACTGGCAATAAAATCTTGATGGTCAGGGGGAAGGGCAGAAGAGGATTGAGGGTTCCAAAGTGGATTTCCATTCTGTAAATCTGGGGGCACCTGCTCCCTTGTTTGTGAGAAAGGACTGAGGTGTTCATCATAGTTCTCCAAGAAACATTCATGGGACTTGCTAAGATAATTCTACTTTTTTAGGGAGATCTCATGCATAAGGTTACTTCCTGAGGATTAGGGCAGTATGTGTACTTTATAAAGACAAAAAGAAGAGAAAAATATACTTAGCTTATTTTTCCTTGATTTTTTTTACATTTTTGAAATAAAATTATTTAGTTCCAACTTCTTTCAGAGCCCAAAATTATCTTTCTGAGTGCATGCAAGTGGTTCTAATGACTAGCAGCTGCTCAGACTGGGCAGCAACCTGAGAGTTATTGGTACCTCTCCTCCCTCTTGGAGGGACTGAAGGAGGGATTGCTTTGGGGCTGGACATTGAATGATGACACATAGGCCCTGACTGGCTTCCTCTTTCTTCATTTCTCCATTGCTGCAGTCTTCTGTGATCTAGCCTGATATTTACCTTCAGCAACAGCTATCTACTTTGTGCTGTCTAGGCACCAACGCTCCGGGCCAGCTAAAACTTCTCTGTTTTGAATTCTGGTATGCCAGTGCCAGTCTTGCTATTGTTAAAGATTCACTGCTAGTCAGTGTGTGTTGGGTATGAGTATGGGCATTGAGAGTGAGTGGAAATGAAAAGTGCTTGGAAATTTCATATGTTTTCAGAGAACTGGTTCCTCATTTTTATGGGGGAAAAGAGAAGTGTGCATTGTGATTCCTTTTTTACAATGCCCTTTGACATGTCTTGACTCATATAATTTCACAGTGACACTGTGGGGTTGTTATTATTCTACGTGTTTGTTTAGAGCCAAGGATTGCCCCAGGATTCTTTTTTGTTTTTTAAGATTTATTTACTTGAAAGGTTGAGAGTCAGAGGAAGAGGA